TCCTGCTCACGTTACATATCAATTATATCTCAGTAAAGCTGAGGGGAAAATAAATCCTGTTCATAAGATTATGGAATTAATTAAATGTATGTAGAATTCCTTTGTAACATACAATCCACGTGGCAGATTTCAGTTTCATCCAGAAGTAATAATCATTTGTTGAATGTTTATTACATAGAGAGCACCTACCATGGGCCAGGACTTGTACAAAGCACACAAAAAAATAATCAGACGTGGTAGTTCTGCCAAGTATGTTAGACAAGCTCGAGCAGTATTTCTGCATTGTACTCTAGGAGTTATAACAGAGCTACTACAATCTGAAGACCAGGAGAGGCTTCGAAATTTTATAGTTTATGAGTTGACCCTTGAACAACACTAGTTTGTACTGTGTGGGTCCACTTATATGTAGATTTTTCCCCCAATAAATACCTGTACCGTATTTAGACCACAATTGAGAGTCCAAAAATGTAGAGGACTGACTGGATGCATTGTTCCATACTATTTTATGTATGCAGCATGAGCATCTGTGGATTTTGGTATCCATGGAGGCCCTGGAACCAGCCTCCCTCGGATACTGAGGGTGGTTAAGTTTTGGGGAAATCAAAAGTTATACATGGATTTTTGACAGTGCAGTGGGTAGGCACCCCCACTGTGTGCTGTTTGATAGTCAACTGTATATTAAAGGAAGGTATGTGGATTCTTTTTAGGGTAATTTATATTTTTCCTATTTATTTAACCCAAGAGGAATGAAAAATGTAAGGGGCTCATTTAGCCATGGCGATGGCAGGTGGATTTCTGCTGAGATGAACACCTCAGCAGATGTGGCCCTGACAACGTCTGTCTGCAGCGTGAATAAGTTCGGCAGTGAGCATGAGAGAAGCACAGTGAGAAGTCTGGAATTTGAATCATGGTGTAACCATTGCGTATCAGGTGGCTATTTTAATTCTTTGTCCTCAAAGTTAGTTCGACATAAGTCAGTCTACTGGTTTTTCTTAATAAATGATATGCTGCAGCCATTTGCCAGTCTTCATTGTTAAAGCCAACTTGCTGTTAGTCTGTTTCGGTAGGTTCTACTCTCAGAACACCTAGCTACCCCAAAACTTCCAGTTTCTTAAAATATAATGCACACCAGTCCTGTCTTCAACGCTTTGCCTGTGTTACCTCACTGCATCCTCACAACTCTATAATGTGGGGACCGATTTCCCCATTCCAGACTTGAGACAACTGACACAGAGTGAGGTTTATCAATAGCCCAGGTTTACGTCGTTACTAAGTGGCAGAGCTGGGATCAGAACCCAGGCAGTGACTTCAGAGCCCCCGCCCTTTGCTCTGCCTGTCCAGATAGATCGGTAGTGGTTATGGGAAGCTTCGTTGTCTGGAGAGGGTCAGGTATGGTGGTCCTTCACCTGCTCGAGGTAGGCCAGCACCTCTGTGAGTTTTGAATTATTATTTCCCTGTTTAGAACACAGTGAAGAAAACTTAAATGTCACTATATGATCCCCTTAGGTACTAAAATATGTATATTCTGCCATAGTTCCAGCTCTTGGCTTTGCCATTGACTAGTGTGTGAGTTTAGACAAGTTTTTTTAACCTGGGTTTTGGGTGTTTCCACTGTAAAAGGAAAGGATTAAACTAGGTAAGTCTCTATATTTCCTACTGGCTCAGTAACTTTTCTGATTCTGTACTCTGCTAGAATTAACAGTTGACATCACTGCTTTTGTCAGTCGTCTGGAACCAATTGTTCCAAATGAAAAAGGAGAGAAAGTATGGATAACGATTGTTCTTCTCTTTTGCTGGGCTCTTTTTTATTTTAAATACTCAAAAAAATTATGCCAAGGTACTAGCTTTTGCCATCTTAAAATGTGTGCATTGCATGCTTAGTTCTAAGAGCTGGGAATATTCCCTGAAGGTCTGTGCTGGTCACAAGCAAAATGGAGCACTCAAGACTAAGCACTGAAAATATCTCATGCAATGCTTCTCCATGCACTCATTGGGACAGGTAATTACTGTGGCAACAGCAAACTAATTTGAAGTGTTAGCTGTTAATTAAAAGGATGCAGAGGTGTATAGTTGTCTTTTGGTGTAACCAGAGCCTCCATTCAAACTTCATTAATCACTTTACAGTTAATGTGTTGCAGAAGGTCAAGACTATTGAGATGCAGCATTCGTTGAAAGTAAACAAATTCCTTTTCTCCAGGTGGAATTCCATTTGCAAAGTTAAGGGGCACACTCCGCTCATAGCTGGCATTGCCTTTGTCATCCACTTCTCCTTGATGATTAAATGTTAAATCGGTACTGTCATTGCACTGTAAACCAAACCACACAGCACCTTTGTTGCTCGAAATCGAACCCAAAATTCCATGGATGAATTAGCGTGCATCATAATTAAATCATCAAGCCTCCCCTTGTATTTCACTTAGAAATAAGAGACCTTTCTTTTGGAAAAGAGATCGGCTTTCTTGACAAGCTAATTAAGTTACCAAGCCGTTCAGTATGGTGTACATATATTAGACTATCTGCTGATCATTTACTTATCGCTGCTGTTGGTCTCAAAAGTCCAGGTTGTTGTCCAAAGTGACAGCACTGTTCTTTTTTTAAGTTTTGAATCCTTGTTAGTCTGTTCAACTGTTAGTCTTCACATTTGAATTTTTGGTTAGTGATTCTAATACAGAGTGTTTTTAACAGTTGAAATTAAAGGAGTCTGTAGTATACAAGAGGAAAAATAATATATCATTAAATTTTACATATTATATTACCTATATTTATATGGAATAAAGTTACTAAATTCCTTCAAATCACATTTCACATTAGCTTAGTACAACTACTTCTCTGCCAGGCACTGAGGAAAATACAGCGTATGTTTTTCTATATCACTTTATTACATGAATTCAGAATATGTAATAAATCAAATCATAACTTGAAAATGGGGTTTCATGTTGTAAAGTCTGATGTTAACATAGATAGTGAAGTAAGTGGTAATTTGTTCTAAACCCTTTATAATATAGGGGTTCCACTTTATCACTTTATATAAAGTATAAAACATATCACTTTATATAAAGTATAAAATTTTTAAATAATTTAAGTTTTATAAACTTAATAGTATTTATGTACACTAGGGAAGTTGATGTTTAGAGAAAGTCTGTAGATACTTTTACAGATTAAAGAACTCTGGTAAAGTGAACAATTGCCAAATTTTATAATCTTGCTTGTCCTTTAAATGAGATATAATTTCTCTATAATTGATAAAATAAAGGCTAAGTTTACCTTCCAAAATTGGCTCAACCTTGTCCACTCAAGAAGGAAAAGCAGAATGAATTTTTTATAACACTCATATACAGATACTTACAAACATTTACATGTTTTTCCTGGTCTTACCTGAATTCATAACATTATTACATATGAAAAGTTATAAATTCTTGTAGGTTCTTGATAACTAAATTATATCCATAAGTCTGTTGCTTTAAAAATACTTGTCAGTGATTGCACAGTTCTGTAAATTTACTAAAAATCATTGAATTATACACGTAAGTGAACTTCATATATATTATATCTCAATAAAGCTGTTTAAAACATTAGTTAGAATAACCACACAAATACTTCTGCCAAAACAACAAAATGTTTTCATCTGATAATAATGGAATGCATATTTTATTTTATTTTTGTAATCATGTATGGTAATGGATGTTAACTAGACATATTGGGGTTATTCATTTGCAATATACATATATAAATATCAAATCATTGTTATATACCCAAAATTAAGATAATGTTACATGTCAATGATATCTCCAAAAAATAATAAAATGAATGAGCAATTTTTACTACTAAGTAAAATTTACTGCTTAGTAGTAGAAATTGGAAACCTGGTTAATTTTGCAACTTGGCATCTGAGGACAGGGAATTCCTGGCAAGCTGAATTACATCCCTCCCCCTGTTCCCTGCCCCCGCCCTCACCACCACTTAACACTAGCCAGGTGAGAGGAAGAACAATCAGCTCTTGGCTAACATGCAGAATCCTCTGTGGAGCAGGACTTGAATTCTTCCAAAATAATTTGTTTCTTCATACTCTCACGGACGTGCAGTAACAGTGCCTGTTCATGTTGTGTGCGTCGTTCTGAATTTTTTATACGAGGCAGATTGTTTCTGGATAATGGTCAGAATGGGTAGTCCTTTCAGTACATGCATGAAAGGCCACACATTTCATTGAAACACAAAAGGTCTTGATGAAATAATGGTATTTACTTCTGCAAACCTTATTCTCTGTTTTATGAATGAATGTATTCATACTGCTTGACTTAAATTGTAGTTATTTCACTTAACTCATCACTTGAGCTTTTCTCTCTTCTGAAGCTTTTTTAATATTGAGAGATACCAGTTTTAGGAAAGGATGAACCACATATTTGAATCTTATAAACCTGTGACTTATACGAATTTGTATCTTAAGCTATAGCTAATTCCATATTATTTTGATGAAATGTGGGAATAGAGTTGACTTGTGTATATAATTGAAATAAACAAAAGAAAAACCTCCCATTTTGTATGTCTTTGTCTAGTGCTTAGCACAGAGCTAGAGAAGACCTCCACACACACTCACACGCTCACACACTGACACACTCCCACACTCTCACTGGCACTGACAGTGTGTTGTAAAGGAAATAGAGCCAGAAGACCTGGATTTGAAGTATAGTTCTGCCACTTACTGACTTTGTGCCATTAGGCAAACTACTTAACTTTTCTATGCTTCAAAGTTCTCATCCATAAAAGGAAGATAATAATGCCACTATTACCTTAGAGGATTATTTTAAGGTAATGTGTAATGAATCATTTTGTAAACCATTAAGCTCAATAGAAATGTAAATTACTGGTGTTATTAGTATTCTTTGGAAGTGCCACATATCCCATGGCTGCAGATGTGTTCAGATTTACACTTATGTCCTTCACCATCGTCTAGGTTGTTTAGTGATCTCAAGTAATTTTGTTATTGTTCTTTCTTCCCATAGAGCATATCATGTCCCAAGTGGGAAAATACTAGCTGTAAAGGTAAGTGGTGGATAAATTTCATGAAATTCATGACATTCTTGATGCTTCTACACCCCCTCCCACTTCTCCACGTTTAGCTTGAGTCACAGGCAGTCGTGAAAAGGAAATGAGATGGTTTTAGGTTTGGCTGGTAGGTGGCGGAAGTTGTGGCACTGCTGTGACATTCAAGCTCCCGAGGGTGTTTTAAGTAGCACCTTGGCATGGTGAGTCTTCTCATCACTGTTGCCTCCACTTCTCTCTCTGTTTCCTGTTAAGTGGCATCACTGTCTTCCTCGTCTTGCAGCTCAGAACCTTAGTAGTTATTCACTCCTTTTTTCTTTTATCTCCGACATCTTGTAAGTTACCATGACCTGTTGGAAATTTTCCCTGAAATGCGTCCATTTGTCACTTTCTTGCCGTTCTTATCCTCATTGCCTGGGCCTTGTATCAGGCTCACCTACCCCATACCGGGATTTTTTATAACAATTTCATCATTGTACTTTGATCTTTTTCTTCTCCTGTGCCCCTTTACTCTGCCACCAGAGTTGAGAAATTGAATCACAGATCTGACCACGTCACTGTCTTGGCACCCACCCCCCATCCTGTACATTGTAAAACCTAAGATGTGTGACCCATTACCAGATTCCGAAATAGCCCAGCACCACACCCACCAGCAGTCAAGCCGCACATGTCTCATGGATGTTCTGGGCAGTTACCTAAAATATGCCTCACCTGCTGCCACCCCGTTGTACTTTACACCTCATCCCTGCCATGCACCAGCATCCCAATTCTGCCCTGACATTTGCAGCTTAATTTCTGGCATTGGCTGTTGGAGCTTCATCTTCCCCTTATTTTATCCAAGATTTTCCCAATGGACTCTCTTGAACTGTACCTCTGACTGAACCCTAGGCTTCCTCAGGTTCCACAGAACCCCACTTCTAACCCTCTAACCCTGGGTTCTTAGCTAACAGACTGGTTAGACCTGCTTTGTGCCTCCCCCCACGAACCGGTCGGGTCCTCTTCAGATCAGCCCCTTCCTACTCTACAGCCACACCTCTGTATTACCTGTCTGTGACCTCTTGTCACACCCTGCATCTCTAGTCTCCGGACCCTTAATCATGAAAGCTGTTATTTTTTTGTGTAACTAGTATATGCCAGTTACTATGCTAGATGTCATATGACTATTATCTGTAATCCTTAAAAACAGCAAAGTAAGCCTGTGCATTTTAGATTTGAGAGGACTGAGACTCAGAAAGCTGAACAGTTCAAGATAACACAGTTGAAACAGCCAGGGACAGGATTTAAAACAAAATCCATTTGACTCCAAAGTGCATGTCCTCTGCCTCACCAGGAAGCCTTTATACAAGTATTACCATTGCTCCTCTTTCTGATTTCCATCTATCCTTTCATGGTTCATCTCCCCCATGATGCTTTCTTAGCTATTCCCAGCAAGAATTCAGTCTCTTTCCCTTACATTTATGTAGTATATCTGATTTCTGCATCTTTTATCTTATCTAGAAACTAGGAATCTGAACAACTAAATTGCAATTGATTATACCTTTTAGTAAGGTTAAACTGAAGTGAAGACTCAGTGTAGGCCAGAGTTCTTTTTCCATACTACACCTGGTACAATACCTGTAGTGTGTTATGCGACATTATGAAGTCCAGTTTTAATAACTCAAGTAGCTTTAGGTGAGGCTGGGCTCACCTTAAATTACATTTAAGCTAGGCTAACATTAAAATTCTTGTGCATGACTATTTATATAGGTATGGCAAAGGTGTTACAGTTGTTTCTGGAAAGGATTAAAAGCAGTTGTAAAGAAGACACATTTTAAAAGAGGTGTTAAAGTAGAGACTTTCAATAAATAAAAGCAGTAGTGGTTTACAAATACACAACTCATTAGACCCGACCATAAAACTGAGCTTTACAACAAGGCCCGTATTGTATTCACTGTGTATCTCTAAATTCTACAGCATGCTAGATGGTCAGACTGAGCTGAGTGAATGAATGATTTAAGAGTAGGTGTGATTATTGTTTACTCTTTTTTGCTTATCCCTGAGCTTTTGGTACTGAAGGCAAAAACATGATGCTTACGTAATAGTCATAATCCAGAAAAAATAAATGTGCCATTACTTCAAACCTGGTGGAGTTCTTCATTAAATTTTAGAAGTGGTTAGTTCCCAAATATGTGGGGATTTTCCAGATAGCTTTGTTATTGATCTCTAATTTAAATCAGTTGTGGTCAGAGAATATACTTTGTATCACTGGAATTATTTTAAATTTATTGAGATTTTTATGGCCCAGAATATGAATTATTTTGGTGTTTCCTGTGCACATGAAAAGAATGTGTAGTCCATTATAAAGTGTATTGTATAAATGTTAGATCAAGTTGTCTGATAGTGTTGTTTAAAATCATCTTCACTGAGTTTTATCAACTGATCTATCAATTATTGAAAAAGGGGTATTGAACTCTCCAGCAGTAATTGTGGATTTGTCTATTTTTTCCTTATAGTTTTATCATTGGTTTACTTAATATTTTTGAAGGTCTGTTAGATACATTTAGGATTGTTATGTCCTCTGGATGAATAGGCCCCTTTGTCATTATGAAGTGACCTTTTTTATCCATGGTATTATTCTTGGCTCTGAAATCTACATTTGCTGATATTAATATAGCTACTCCAGCTTTGACTGGTGTTAACATGATATGCTTTTACTTTTAACCTGCTGAGTCTTTATACTTGACATGGACTTCTTGTAGGCAGCATATAGCTGGGTCTTATATTTAAATCTAGTCTGATAATCTCCACTTTTATTTGGGGCAATTAGATCATTTACATTTCATGTGATTATTGATATGGTCAAATTCAAATCTGTCGTCTTGATCTTTGTTTTCTATTCATTCTGTCCTTTTTTTAGCCTTAGAGTTACTTTAACTTATTATAGTATACATTCCAGTAATATTGTACCACTTTATAGTGTGAGAACTTTACATAATATGCTTTACATAGTGTACTTTGCTTTTCCACATCCTGGCCTTCGTAATCATACATTCTATATACTCACGTGATAAACCCCAGGACACACTGTTGCTATTCTTGCTTACAGTTGTCTTTTACAGACATTGAAAAAATAAGAAAATATTTTTATTTACTCACATTTTCACCAGTTCCAGTGCTCTTCATTTCTTTGTATGGATCCAGATTTTCATCTGGTTTAATTTCCTTTCTGTCTGAAGACTCTCCTTCTTTTACCTTTCTTTCTTTTTTTATGTGTTGATCTGTTTTATTATTTGACTGGAGAACTAGACACTCCCCAGTTCAGGGAGATATGCAGGTTTGACCCTCCTTGTGATCGCTGGCTCCAGCCCTACCCTGGCCCTTCCTGGCATTGGCCACCCCCATATGGGGACAGGAGGGAGGCGTCAAAGTGCTTTGGGGAGTCCAGGCAGACAGTGAAGTGCTGGATGTTTACCACCTGCTCACAGACCTGGGTGTGGAGCTGGCGAATCAGCACCTGGATGTGATGGATGGATTTGGCTAACTAAGCCCAGCTTGAATACCTGGGTCTGTAGGTGCCTGTTTGAGAAATCCTTGATCTTCAGGCCCAGGATGTAATTCGGCTTCACCCTGGCCTTGTCCAGCTCCCCGTGTGGACCAGGCACCACAATAGGACACCGCCTTCAAATGGACGCTGTGGGGCTTTCTCATCCAGCTTTAGTCAGCAGCCCCTGAGCAGCCTTGCGGACCTAGGCCAGGGTGAATTTGACCCTCCAGACCTCCCATTTGCTCTAAAGCCCATACTCGCCCATCAGCTTCAGCTCTTGGTTGAGGTGGGATTTCTTGAAGAGTCTCTGCAGGGTCATGTAGGTTGTGCAACAAACCCATCTCTGGGCCCCCAGGATGTTGGCTCCCTTGTAGCTGAGAAAGAGCTCTTTTACATTTCTTATAATGCACAAGTCTTCTGGCGGTAAATCCCCCTGCTTTTTCATATCTGCAGAGTGTATATTTGACTTTCATTTTGGAAGGTATTTTTGCTAGAGAGAGAATCTAGGTTGACTGCTGTTTCAGTATTTTAAGGATACTATTTTATTGTCTTTTGGCTTGCATTCTTTCCAATGAAAAGCTTACTGTCATTTACAATCTTTATTCCTTTCCCTGGCCAGGTGGCTTGGTTGGTTGGAGCATCATCCCGTATAACAAAAAAGGTTGCAGGTTAGATTCCCAGTCAGGGCACATGCCTAGATTGCAGGTTTGATCCCCAGTCAGGGTTCGTATGGGAGGCAACTGATCAATGTCTCTCTCTCTCTCTCTCTCTCTCTCTCTCACACACACACACACACACACACACAAATCAATAAACATATCCTTGAGTGAGGATTAAAAAGTAATAATATAATAAAATCTTTATCCCTCTGTACGTTAGAACTGACCTCTCTGGCTCATTTTAGGATTGATTATGATGAGCTTTTATGTAATTTCCTTGATAATCCACATACTTAGGATTTGTTGAGATTGTTGGATCGGTGTATTTTTAGTTTGCATCAAGTATGTACAAATTTTGGCCATTATTTTTTCACATCTTTCCCCTCACCTTGGGAAGTGAAATTGCATGTACAGGGTCCAGCAGAAGTAACGCCTGCTTCAGTGTGGTTGGTAGGGTAATAATATGGGTGTAATAATTTATAGTTTTAATTTGAACATTTCACCTAAAATGTCATATGGTGTGCTTGAGTGTGATATTGTTGTGTTACAGAATTACATGCTTATGATTTTGTAATAAAAGATGTTGTAATAAAAAGGGCGTATTATTTGTGCCAGACACTGTATATTAGGTTAATTGAAGTTGTTCCACCACAAAACAATGCTCTGTTGTTTGTTTTAGTCTTTTTTTCTCTCTAATGTTTCATTTTTGGATAATATCTGTTGTCAAATATTAAGTTTCATCTTTTCATCTGCATTGTTTAATCTGCTATTAATCTTGTTCAGTGTATTTTTCCTTTCAGATATTGTACTTTGTATCC